TAATTGTGAAATTTACTCCTCCTCCATTCCCCTCTGCTTCTCAAAAACCGCGTACTAGGGGCTCAAGGATGAGGGGATGTATGTAAAGCAGAAGTAATTTCAACCACCTGCTTGCTCATGTTTTACACATCGCATGTGATAGTCGATCAACAATTAGCAAGCATTTTTACAGATCAATGACGTCGCGCTGTGGGAATAGGCCGGGAGAAGGAATGTTCTCCCCCCCACTTCCTTCCATAACTGACTCCATTGAACTGCCGTTCACTTGATCATCAGATCATCAGATCATCGTAAAGGTTGCATATTCAACGAAGTTTTAAATTTAGAAAAGAAACTACAGTTATTTGTGTAGATATACAACTATCTTTCTGTCTCTCCGAATCCATGTGATCGGCGACGTTTTGTGCTCGGTAAATGCTTATATAGTGGATTTTTAAACAGTATACTAATTTTTATTTAACCATTTTTCTATTTTTTCTTGCATAGTAGTTTGAAAAACAAATATATATGTTCATATTCAACAGTTATTAATAAATTCCGTTCCCTACTGCTCAGTAACAATAAACTAATCTACTACTAATAAACGTATAGTACTAGTAAAAGTACTAATAAACTAATCGCAGTATGACTAAACTTGCAGTAAATTAATTCAATAATGACATATTTCAGACAAAATAAAAATTGCCTAAGTATATGTTTTAGGTTTCCAGTCTTCTTGTGTATCGAAATTATTTACACCTCTAGCATTGTCAGAGTCTGGATAGTTTTCGTCCAATTTCTGGGTGTATTGGATATTACAAGGGGATTTTTATGCGGTAAAACATCGCGAAAAATAAGCAATAAATACGTTTAAAAATGTCGTAAAAGGAAAGGAAAATGATGTAAAAAATTTGATCAAAACTAGTTCAAGATGAACAACTGAAGCTGTTGGATATGTTACTGATGTAATCGAAGATTCTTCCTTTCGTTCATGTGAACTCGGATTGCAAACTTTGGGTGTGGACTGTTCTTTACCAGAATATATCTGTCTTAATGTTATCGTGAAATCCGGCCGATCAGTCAATTATGTTGATAAACATCACAGGAATCGTAGTTTAATACAACGGCTGACATTGCAATTTTTGAGCGAAGTAATCATAAAGGCTACTCAGGTATTCCGTGGAAAACATTTATTGCATCTCATAAATATTATTAAGCAAGTACATTTAAAATTATATTAAAATGAAATCAGGGAAAAATGCTTTAAAAGTGGCCTGAAAAAATTCAAACACAACTAATTTGTCGAAATCGACGAAAAATGCATATAATATCTTATAAATTGGGTCATTTCCTTTTGTGATTACATTAAATTAATGTATTAATGAATGTAAATAAAATCTATATAATGTAAATCATCGTTCTTAAGCTAAAAGTATAAAATGTCATTTCATTAAAATCTTAATGTAGTACAGGTATTACTACATAATAGAGAACGAAGACATTCCAATGTAAAGTCCGAAGAAATGACCCCTGCAGGAGGGAGAGTATGCAGCACCTCTCCTTCCACACACATGCGTTTAGAGGGTTGCGTTTCCCCTAGCACCCGTTCATCTCGCTATCGTAAGCATTCTTTGTTTGCGATCACGAGTCTTTTCCGGTAAATCCCTAGTGACGCTTTCTGTAGTTAACGAAGGTGAATCTCGCGAAAAACGGTAAATTTCAGTACAGTTATATTCTCAGATTTCGACGCATATTCAGAGGCATTTTTGACCTTAAAAAATCATTTAAACCAAACCGCGTCTAATAATTGACAATAGATATACCACTATTGTGCGAAAGCTTATTATCAGTATCTTTTTAATTTGCGAATACAAACACATTTGAGTATTTAACATTCACGTCTTCATTCTGAAAAAAAGCTATGGAGATTAAATGAAATTCGTGTTTAATTTTTTTCGGCGGAAATCGACATATTCGTATTGCATGCTTTTACGAAACTATAAATGGACACCATAGGTTTCTGCGTGTTGGAATGTTATATGGGAGTATTTCGTTAGTCATGGAACACAATTTCTATGGTTTTGTTCATCAACATTTTAGCTCTCACTCGTCATTTGTCTGTAAAAGGACTCTGGTTAGTAGAACGGTAGCGGAAAACTAAGTAACGTGACTAGTGTCAAATTACATTAATGGTAATTTCGTATTCCGATTATGTTTCTCATTGTTCCAAAGGACAATGAGCGATGACAAACCTAGTGATTGGAAACTTGTGTAAACATTAAAAGTTATGAAATAAAATTATTCAGGAAGTTTCCAGTTACTCTCATTGTTCATTGTTATAAAGAACAAGGAGTAAAGAAAAGAAACATATTGCATTTCTGTTTCCGTTTCTTAATGCTGTGGAGAACAAAAATACCTTTTACAGTAAGCGTTTGCAACAACGTAGTAAATAAATTGCTAATTAGCTGGATGGAATTCAGCCTTTGCGTGAAGGAGAATCCTGCTCTAATCAGTATTTTACGGTGCTTTCTGGTACCAGTACCCAGGAGATAATTTCGGATTTGCATTTGTCTAGTGAAAACCGGATTTGTATATTAAAACACGCAGATCGCGCGCAAACTTTCCTTGCACTTCCTTGTCCTAACCGCACTCCTTACACACACACGCGTGCGCGCGCACACACACGCGAAAACACACACGCGCGCGCGAACACACACACACACACACGCTCACACACGCGCGCGCGAACACACATACACACGCACACACTTCCATCCACTAAACCACCACACATATCGGGACACCAGACAAGAGCTTAGGGCTTGTCCCGGCTGGGGCGGTGCCCCACTGGTGGGAGATACCTGAAGGAAGAAATCCCCCACATGCCGACTTGTAGGCGGATCTTACAATCCAGCGAGGGAAAAACGTCGTCACTTTCCGCGACAAAAACATGCACCATGGTTACGGGACGTATGGCCATGGCGGTTAACGCTCGCGGAAACACGGTATAATTGTTCAACGTTTTCACGTCCCAGGAAATCGTTAGGGAGTAATGGGTAAACTGGTGGCCCCGTTTATCCGTCCGAAGAAGAGTATTACTCGATAATGTTACTGGATTATGTGAAACTTTCATTCAGCTCCGAGCTACTCCTGGAATACCATATAACCAAGGACAACATGAATAACAGTTTAATGCAGTAAATTGTTGTAATTGTTTCAATTTTATAGTGACAAAACTTTCAAAAACGAATTATAACAAAACGACCTACAAGAAAATGTATTTAAACATAAGTATTAAACTTGTAGGAAAGTGAGTTTTCCATGTCTTGGGATTCCTTGGAAATCTTTGAAATGAAAGACCTGAAAGCTTAATTATCAGCGGGATTTATTCAATTTCGAATCAATTAAACATGCGTTTGTACCCATTAAAATACTTTCCTGTACAAGTTTGGCTGTGACGTTGCACCTAGTTTTGAAAGCATATTCTTTGTACTTGTCACCATGTAATCGTGGAATATTAATTGCGAAATCTGTAACAACGTGATAATTTTCTTCATTTGTAGTTTGTGCTCTCAATTTTTATTTTCTTTCGCCAAGACATTTTTATTTTTTTGATGTTTTCAGGCACTGAATCTTTAATAACACATTCTTTTTCAGAGTTTGAAACTTTACAAAAACAACACATTTTAATATTATAATGATGCTCACAAGCTATTATAAACATAAAATAGTTGCTATCGATAACAACAAAAAGGTGAACAAAGTTCTTACAGTGGTGTGCAAAATTATCATATGGTGATAATCATATGGTGATAATCACCATTTTTCCAACAGATAGTGCTAATTACACTGTTTAAGATGACATAATTAATTTTGCTGTATTGATTTGTTTTTTTTTAAATATACAAATGCAATTTTTTAAAAATCTTTTACGCCGTTAATATGCACATGTCCATCGATTTGTAAACGTTATTGCATTTGTGGCTGGAAGTACTTGAAATCACGTCATATTAAGTTTATTCGAAAACTCAATAGTTTTCTTTGTAAATAGATTCAATTCGCAGTAGTGCTTAAATGACATTTTTTTAAAAATTGCTCCAAATGGTTTAAAGAAAATGTGCCATTTTGAACATGGTTTTACTGTTCTTTAATATTCTTAAAATAATATCTCCGTTCTAATATTAGAAAGCCGAAAAGTGTGAGAACATTTTTTTAAATGTACTTTTGGAGGTGAAAGATGGCAGCTGGGAAGAGAATGTGGCAAGTCAGAGTATCTAGATGAGACCAAAGGAAATAGAAAATTAATACGGAAAGTTTGTGTCGTTTCTTCACGCAGGGTTTATTAACTTTATTTGTAGTATGTAGCGAGAAAGTATAAGTACAAAAGTTAAAATTTAGAACAAATAATACAAATATTTAAAAAAGGATAGTTGTTGATAAAGAAAGATTCTGTTATTTTCAGTATCTTACGTTTTAAGACAATCAGTAGAATTAATTAATACGTAACCTCTCAGTTGTATTTCATTTTGCTTTAATTATTGAAATAATTTGTTTTATATTTATTTCAATAATTAAAAGGAAATGAAATACAATTGACTGGTTAGGTATTAAATAATTGTACTTCCTGTTTTAAAACACAAGATACTAAAAATAACAGAATGTATTAAAAATCAACCTAACTAATATACAAAAGAGAAAATGCTCCCTGATTGAGCCCAATATTTAATCCAGCAATGGATCTCACACTATGAGAACATTAGCCAAAGCTCATGAAGGAGAGAACTAGAACTGGATGAAGAACGCATTTCATCACAAGTCGGATCGTGAACAAGTGGAATGCTCTCCCAGGGGACCTTGTTGTGAAAAATAATGTGTCTTTCAAATCCTCTCTAGACAATTATCACCAAACACACCAAATTTTCTAATGCAGTATATATTGTTAAGTGTCTACAATGTTGTAGCTGCGTGCGTGAGAATAAATGGAACGTGCAGGTGAGGCGCGCGAAGGCCGCTCTACGCACCTGTGTTGTCGCCGCCTGGCTGTCCGCTGCGCCGCCTCGACCTCGTGTGCGGCGCGCCGGGCGGCGTCGCGACGCCCGAGCCGCGTTGCCAGGCGACGTCGGCGCTTCGATCGCAGCGCCACGCCACGCCCACCCACCGCCCCCACCCCCCGCCCCACCGCCCCACCGCCCCCACCGCCCCCTACCGACCTGCCCACGCCGTCCCTACCGACCTATGCCCCCCCCCCCACTGCCCCCCACTGCCCCCCACTGGCCCCCGCCGCCCCCCACCGCGCTCCGCCGCCCCCGACCCCCGCCACCCCGCCGCCCCGCCTCCCCCGCCGTTCCCGCCGCTCCCACCGCCACAACCCTCAACCGGCCCCCACCGCCCCACCCCATGCCGCCCCCACCCCCCAACCGCCCCGTGACGCCCCACCGCCCCGCCGCCTCGCGCCCCCGCCGCCCCAACACCCCCACCGCCCCGCCGTTCCCCACCCGCCCACACCGACCCGCCCCGCCGCCCCCCACCGCTGTCGCGTGCGCACAATTAATTGCTTCCGGGCGTGAGCGCTGTTCAGAGCTTTCGTCGCGGTGGGGGGGGGAGTGCGTGATGCGCTTGGCTACCGAGAACTCCCAATCATACACACACACACACACCTGTGGAGCGTTACACACAGGTTGTTCGTTTAAATTATTTTGACGGAAAGAAATCAAATTACGACATTGCACGATGTCCGACCCCTAGCAGGAGATCGGAGCGAATTGCTTAATTATTTAATTACGTTTCGTCTTACAGCTTCGGCCATGCACCACAATCTTTAAAACATTCGTACTTCCAGATTCCGTCCCAGAACGGAATGTTCTTTCGGGTTCCCCAGGCCCGAGCAAGAGGCATTTGCCTCTGTTCTCTGGTTGAGAGTAAATTTTACAACGCAATTTTTAAAATCCATTAAATTGTACTGCCCACTCAGTACGTCTTGCTTTCACGGGCTTGTTAGGCCCGAGTGCGCACATCTTAGACTCCTTAGATTTCTGTCAATCTTGTTCTCTCGTTCTGGATGCAATCTGGCCATGCCACGAAGCCAAGAATACCACCCACAAAAACCAATAATAGAGTAACTTTGACCGTTGCTTAAGTTAGTATGTCGTTCATTAATAGAAAAGAACCCATCTAAAAACCTTATTGGGCAATATTTTTAGAAAAGGGCTTATAATGATTCACTATTTTAAAATTGATTGAGGTTCTACAACATATAAGTTGACGTGGAGGCCATGAAATTTAAGCTCCAACTTTTGCCGACATTTGTTTTTCCTGTTTACTTTACAAATTATAATTTAGGTTGAAGTCTTTTCTGTTTAAACAGTGCTTTTGTCATATCCTATGAAGATGACATAGAGGGCAGAACACAAGCTCTAGAACCAATTGTTTGTAATTAAACCAAGTGTTTGTAATTAAATGCAGCAAAAATTTATTTTTTCCTTTACGCACTATTACAATCTTGGTTAAATAAAACCAGTGTTACTGTTAAAAGTGTTATTTGTGTTTTGCAACTTCATAATAAAAATATAATTTAAACATAATTTCTTTTCTCGGTTTCTTTCTTTCCGCATAGAACGTTATATGAAAGAATACAGATTAAAGTGCTTGTTTACATGATGGGTTCATGACGAAATTAGGCTTTATTTATCGTCAATCTGATGAATAACATCAGAACGATTCGTAAAAATCTCGGAAAGTGTGTATGATAATTCTCAGCATTCCAGGTGCGTTGAAACATAAGAAGTACGTTCTTTCTGGAATATTCTCGAGAGTTGGCTAACATTTATACCAGTCAATTGCGTTGTCGAGAGTTCAAGGAGCCCTTACCCTCAGGAAATAATAATAAGGATGTAATTGTGGTAAATAAAATAACATCTGTTCTTTACATTATTTAATAATAAAAAATCAATAGGAGCTTATATTAAGAAATGTTATTATGTACTGCTGCCAATACTTTATCAGGTCATTCATATTTTGCGTCGCAGAGGACAAGTCTTTTTATATTGTGTCCATGCGGATGCCACTGTCCATGCGGATGCTACATTAAAACTCTGCATGAAAATTACTATCCGAAGTCAGACCGTAGGGAACTATAATGGTATCACAAATTTCCTGGTAAAAACTGATTATCCAGACAATAAACAATGATATTACAGTTCAATATCCAACAAGTCATTATTAATAATCAAAAGTTCACAGCACATGATGAGTATCGGATGTGAGTGTGAATTGAATAGACGCCTAATTTTACGAGGCGAGACTCGGGTATGAGGCCTGCCCTACAAGTCTGTCAACGCGAATTTCACTACGCTCCTTTTCACCTACAAGCGGAGAATGGAGGTATTTCATGGGCGACGGAGCGATGCATTTTACCCGAAGACTGTCCAAGCTCCGTGTTTCAAGGCAGCGAGCGGAGAGGTCGCTGTTGTGAAGGCAGCGCACGCGTTTTGGGTCGAGGCACGCGTCAGGCGTCGGAGTCGCGCGCGGGGGCGTGGGCGTGGGCGCGCGCGGCGACCAGCTCCCTGAGGCGGCGCGCGGCGCGGAGCGCCGGCGCGTGGGCGCCCGCCGTTGGCGCGGACGGCGGGGGCGGCGCGGGGCGAGCGGCCGCCGCCAGTCCTCCTCCCGCTCGCGCTCATCTCCCGCAGAGCGCCCACACGGCCATTCAGGAAGCACACGTCCAACACTGCAACACGCGCACGCGGACTTACAGCACACGCGTCGGAAGCACACGTCCAGCACGCGACACGCGCACGGCGACGTACAGCACACGGCGTCAAGAAGCACACGACATTCAGCACACGCGTCAGGAAGCTCACGACAGCCTCAACACAAGCACCGACATTTACAGCACACGCTGTCAGGAAGCACCGACATTACAAGCACACGGCGTCAGGAAGCTCACGACCAGCACTCGCAACACAAGACACGCGAATACAGACCGGCGTCAGGAAGCACACGTCCAGCACTGCAACACGCGCACGCGACGTTACAGCACACGGCGTCAGGAAGCACATGTCCGGCACTGCAAAACAAGCACACAACATTACAGCACACGGCGTCAGGAAGCGCTCGTCCAGCACTGCAACACAAGCTCGACATTAGAGCACATGCCGGAAGGAAGTACCCGCCCAGCACTGAAACACGCGCACACGACATTACAGCACACGGCGTCAGGAAGCACACGTCCAGCACTGCAACCCAAGCACACAACATTACAGCACACGGCGTCAGGAAGCACATGTCCAGCACTGCAAAACAAACACACAACATTACAGCACACGGCGTCAGGAAGCACACGTTCAGTGTTGCAAAAGACCCACATAACAGTAAGTATATGGGCAACAGGAAGCAGCCGTCTTGCACTGCAACTCACAAAGGGCTAACTGCTGTATGCACTGTAGGGAAGGAAAATTACGGATCACTTGCCGAGCTACGTCTGGAATTACTGCTGTGGAACTGTAGATATATTTTGATGTGCCTCAGTCCGGTCGAGCAATGCCTGGTGCGTTCGCCTTCTTGCTGTCAAATTATGTCCAGAGCTGGAGCCTTACTCGGGTCAAGCTCTGTTTAGAGCTGGTGCAACATTCTTTTGGAGATATATGTAGATCTCATGCCTCCCCCTGGTCAAGCCATGCCTGGGGCTGATATCTCATATCTATGGAGCTGTGTGTCAAGCTGGGTCCACAACTGAAGAGCTATGACTAGAGCTTGTCCCCCGCCCGGGGCGAGCTGTGTCGGAAGCTTGTGTCTCACCCTGACCAAGCAATGCCTGGAGCTGATGTGTCATATCTTTGGAGCTGTGTGTTGAGCTCGGTCTCTCACTGAAGAGCTATGACTAGTGCTTGTTCCCCACCCGAGGCTAGCTGTGTAGGGGACTTGTGTATCACCCTGGTCAAGTCCTGTCTGGCGCTAATGTCTCATGTCTTTGGAGCTGTGTGTCGAGCGGGGTTCCTCACTGAAGAGGTCAGATTTGAGCTTGTCCCCCGCTCGGGACGAGCAGTGCCTGGAGCTCGTGTCTCCCCCCCGTGTAACCCTGTGCTGAGAGCGTGTCTCACCGATGTTGAGCAGACCCACGCCGGCGATGACGGCCGCCGCCGAGTCCTCCTGCAGGGTGAGCCAGCTGTAGCGCGCCAGGTCGTGGGCCAGCAGCGAGCAGAGCGTGAGCGCCGCGAACGCGGCCAGCCACGCCCGCAACAGCCGCGTGCTCCCCTGCGGCCGACAAGGCGCCACGCCCCCTTGACACACTCTGACTTAGATGAGAACCCTTCCTATTCTAAAAAGGATGCCTTACATTCATAGTCCTGTGTACAGAATGTCCCACATGAAGAGACATGCAAAGAGCTGTCTCGCATGAAAATACCTGTATACAGGTATCTCACATCAATATAACTGCATACAGCATGTCTCACATGAAAAGACATATATACAGGATGTCTCAAATGAAAAGACCTGTATAAAAGATATCTCACATACCTGTATACAGAATGTCTCACATGTAAAGACCTGAATACAAGATATATTACATTAAAAGATCTGTATACAGAATATCTCGTATGAAAAGACCTGTATACATGATATCGCTCTCTATATCTGATATCGCATTCTATACAATATGTGTCAGATGAATAGCCTACTATTAAGGATGTGGAAGAGATGTGTTAGATTAATGACCCACTCTACAGGATGTGTGAGATGAAAACCTTTCTTGAAAAGCAAAAGTGACTTGTCTTTATAACCAATATTTTTTGAAAATTGCTGCCAATGTCACCAAAGGTCTTCAGCCACAAAATTCAATATCAGAAGTTTCTCCAGAAATTGTAGACAACATGCTCGGTTCCGAAACGTAGTCTAAAGAAATTCTCAAATTTATCGGTAGACTAAAAAAAATATTGCGCCGGTTTAGATGAACTTCCGGATTTTTTGTTAAAGACTTGTGCGCCACCATTACTATTTAATGTGTTTATAATCTAACTTACATATTAAAGTGTCCTTATGAACAGGAAATTTTCCAGATTTTTTACAACACCTAACATTAAACATCTTTTCAAA